GAAGCATGATAATGGAAAGGAACCACATGGGTAATTTTAACAAAACAAGAAATTTATTCATAACCCTGCTTGGAATGATGTCAGTAGCTCCTTACAGGAAAATAAATCAGATTTTTTAAAGTCCATAGTTTAAACGTATTGTCATGAAGAGGAAATGTTCGTACAACAGATAAAACGATCTGACAAAAAATGATATTAAAAATGTTTGGAGTTCAGTTTCACTGAAGAGATATGTTTGAATACATACGTACAAAAGTAGATGAAAAGAGAAAATTTGAAATACTTAGCTTTCTTGGATTTTTCAGAAAAAATTCTATGAAGTGCTGATTAGAGGCTGATAATATAATTGGCGAGTAATTTTACACTGGCGAGTACTTCAATGCTGGTTGTGAGGAAATAAAATGAAACCTTTCATATGACTCCAGACACTACTGATTAATTTATTTTTTTTCATTTTATATCAAAAGGAATTTTGCATAGGCTCACTACTTTCCTTCTTCTTTTGGATCAATGACTAATTTCTGTGAAGGCAAGGTTTTCATGGGTCCAAAAACAATTTCACATAGACTCATGAATTTCTTTCCTCCTTCCTGCTCAGCCCCTGTTAATTTCTGGGAAAGACAAACATCTCACAACTTTCTTTCTTTTTCCTCAGTCTTCCAAATTTGAAGGAAGTTATTTTGCACTCACTACAGGACTTCTCTAGATCATGGGGAGGAATGGGCACTTACCCTGCCATGCCGGCCCAATGCATGCTTTCAGGGGCTGATAGGATACTCTTCTTGGGTGATCATGTCTCTTTTTCAATTTATATTCGCCCAAGTGAATATAACAAACTTGACTGAAAAATGAAATCTGCTTTCAGATTTCTCAATCCAAGCCACTGCACATCCAAGATTACAGTACCTGGTATCGCCAATGCTCAACGTTGTTTAACTTTGTTTATCTGACTGGAGCCTGTTTTATTTTATTTTTTACCTATTTTCGGATTTTGTTTGTCACTGTACTAAGGGAGACCATAACAAGAGAAATAGCTTCTATTTTCAGAAGCCACAAAAAAGCATGCTATCTCATGCTTCAATTCCTGGCATTTTTTTCTAAACTACCCATATGTCCCCTGATTCCACTATATCAGTGATCCAATATGGCTTAACTTGCTTCTCTACAGTAATGATGTCTAACTTTCTTGCTTCAATTACATTAATTGCACAGTGAAGTCCTACAGCGTCATTAAACTCTCATCATCATTACATAACAACTCCAAAAAGCAGTTGTATTATTATTAATAAAATTATTGCAGAATGTGGCATAAAGGCAGTTATATAACATTTATTTAAAAAAAGTTTTAAAAACAGATAGCAGAATAAGTATAATATAGGGTAAAGTAGAATTTCACTAAATTATTTTTTTTTTAAATCTTGCATCGCAAAAAAAATACTTTAAACGATAAAAAAAAAAAAATCAGGATACACTAAGGGAGATAACTCAAATTCATTTTTCTGATACTCAATGTCATTGAATTTGAAAATATTGTTTCCTGTCAGATACTTTATGTAACAATCTATCATTAACGATATTCTGAAATACACTGGACCGGAAATTTCATTTCGGTTTGAAAATTTTTTATTCAAATGATCTCTTTGACTAGGCCTATGATTTTTTTTTCAAAAAATACTACAAGACAATCTTGTCGTCCGTGAGGTTACTCTTCTAGAAAAAAATTTAAGATGATCACTGAATTCTCTCCCTTACCAATGTGCAAAAAGGGGAAAAAATTTTAAACCAGATTTTTCAATATCATTCTTTTACACATAACCTGAATATTTTAAGGTGATCTAAAATCACTAACGTTCACCATTTTGACTAAATACTTACACGCATACCAAATAAGATTTTTAATATATAAACATAAAAGTTAGTGGCAATCTTCTTGCTTTTTTATATACTGAAGTTCACCCAATGCAAAGCTCAAAGTAGAGAGTTACTCTTAAAATAGTTATGATGAATGAGATATGTGATACGAATGACAATGTTAGCAATTGATGAGGATCAGGAGGATAGATAATGATTGACACTTAACATGAAGAGGTTAAGATTGTAGTGTTCAGGAAAGCATCCGAACAGGTGTTCACAAAGTAGCAGTTCTTGGGGGAAAATCTGAGTGGAACTTGCTCCTTGCATTTGGAATATAAAGGAAATTAGGGAGATTTTGGGAAGCATAGTGAATTAATGGATAACAACTCGGATTGAGGAATCGGACATTTGAGTTTGAATTGCAGTTGCGTTCATTACATTTACTTACATGACAATACCTTTAGGAAATGTATGAATCCATCTTTTCTCCCTCAGGATAAATAGGAGGACAACTCTAATTTCCAAAACCGTATGGAGCCCTGCCAAAGCACATTATGCAGCTAATGAAAAGGTCATGTAGTTTACACTGTATGATCCCAATTGTATAAGGGGGATTTGATTCCATGGAAATAACATTGGCAGGTATTAGCTTTAAAGGACTGAACTGGTGGAAATAACAATGGTGCTCATTTGAACATTTGCATTGGAAATGACAATAGAGTAGTGATGGGCTTGCAACATTGCATCTGCAAGAAAGTGGTTGTAGTGAAAAATACCATCTCCTAAAAGATTGTGGAAATGATTTTGGACTATAAATACCATCTCCTAAAAGATTGTGGAAACGATTTTGGACTATAAATACCATCTCCTAAAAGATTGTGGAAACGATTTTGGACTATAAATACCATCTCCTAAAAGATTGTGGAAACGATTTTGGACTATAAATACCATCTCCTAAAAGATTGTGGAAACGATTTTGGACTATAAATACCATCTCCTAAAAGATTGTGGAAACGATTTTGGACTATAAATACCATCTCCTAAAAGATTGTGCAAATGATTTGAACTATAAATACTGAAAAGTGATGAACCATTTCATCCCAAATATGGCATCAATACATGGCCCAGGGTGGAGTGTTCTTAATAAGGGACCCCATACAGCATTTTGTAACCTTCACTTTCTTATTAATATTTACTTTTTTTTTCTACATATATTTATATATGCTACAAATTAAACTAAGCACAACTGACTATTAAAGGATGAAAAATTTTTACCGATTCTGTTGTGAACTGTGGTACATGCCAGAATGTCTTTGATCATTAAGCCAGCTGCTCGAAACTACATTACTGTGGGGTTAACAAAGTGCTTGGATATTACTAAGTGGCAAGATTTGAACCAGCATGCCTCATGGGCAGTGGCACCATTGTTAGATCCAATGTGCTCAGAGGGACACAGGTTTGAATATTCAAACTGGTAGAAAAAAATAAATAAATGTACTGATCAATAAATAAATGGAATTTTTATTCAAATACACGTATCTACTAAAAATAACATTTAAAATCTGTTGGATTAATAAATAAAAAAAATCTATTTTAGAAAATTACTTAATATATGTAAATGATAAAATTAAAGAACAAATAGGAAACATATATCAATCTAATATGTTTCAATTTTATTAAAGCTTTGTCAGACACTGAGAGAAAACAGACAAAAAGACAGAAACACTGGTATTTTCAATTATGTTTGGGTCAGTTCTCATTGGTCAGATATGTGTCACATGTATTAAAACCATAGATAATTCTATGTGTATGTAGATGTGTGAAGATTCTTGTATGTCTAAGTGGGCATCAGATGGTGTATTTGTAATTGTGCATGTGTGTTTGTCTAGTGGTAGTTTTATCTTCACCTTTGGGCAGTCAACCTGTGCAGCAGGGAGTCGCATAATTTATGGCCAGCCTCCTTAAGAATGTATTCTTTGTATTAGATATAAGTTAGATTCTTTAAGAATTGTTTAAAAGAAAGAAGACAATGTAAAATCTCTACTTACCTAAGATATATAGATAATGTCCTTATTATATCCCTGAGATACAAAGCTATGATATAATAATGAAACTCAATAAAGTTGAACCTACCATTTAAATTCACACATGAATTTGAAATAAACAATTCTCTACCTTTCTTTGACATGTTATTAATATGTAACAATGAGAAATTAAATTTTAAAGTATATCATAAACCCACAAACAAAAAATGACCTAATCAACTTCTATTTCCACCACAAACAAAAAATAAAATCTGAACTAGTCATAGGATTCTACCTCAGAGCCCTTAGGATATGTAGCCCAGAATACCTAAACAAAGAAGATATTAAGAAAACTTTCAAACTTCTCCACTACCCACATCTTTTTATCCTCAACATGCTTAAAAAATCCACAAAGCTAAAAAAAAACAGATACCACCAGTAACACTTCTAACAAAAATTACACAAAATTCATAATCCCAACAATCTTTTTACTAAACTCGTAAGCTAATTAGTCATCCCTCATACTAGAATTGTTGCCACCACCTCCAAGACAGCCCCAAAAGTGAATTACGATGCACTCACAAAATTTCAAAGTCAACATGACAGAATAACACCACTCAGTTAAGTAATAAGGGTCTCCACATTAATTATATACACACCTCAAATTAACAGTCCCAAAAACAATGGACTCCAGATTTAACTTGAAAACTTTTTAACCTTTCTTTAAAGCTATATAGTAACTTAAAAATAATATATACATACATATATACTGTATTTACATTTATTTACAATAATTTTGGACTGTACTGTGTGTTTTTAGGCCACGAAAAAAGTGCTTCAAATTAATGAACAAATGGCTTTATGGACAATCCCCCCTCCCATTAGTTCATAAATTGAGGTTCCACTATATATATATATATATATATATATATATTCTTTTAATTAAATTAAATATTTGTGATTTTGGAAATAAAAATATCTTTGATACTGAATTAACTTGATTTTTTGTTTTGATTTTTTTAACTGCTTGTCAGTGATAAGCAGTTAAAAATACAAATTACCCAAAAAATAATTTGTTGTTTGCTTTATTTTTTTTATTTATTTTTTTTTTTTTTTTTGCAGTTGAAGATAATATTGGTTTCTCTGACAATGATTCTTTATCCAGTGTCCAACCATCCATGGACTCACCTGGTGAAATAAAAGATGAATCAGAAAATCATTTTTTTCCAGGTAATTGTCTTCATATCTTTTTTTTTTTTTTTTTTTTTTTTTTTTACCTTCCCACATTTAATATGTTCAAAGATTAATAATTTATAATGTATTGTGCTTGATTTTTTTTTTTTTTTTTTAAATTATTTATGGTGGGTATTAACACTTGTTGCTGATTTTATTAGTTTCATGCTTGGACATAAATCTTACCTTCATCTTTTGTTTTTAACACATATTCTTCAGCCTTCTTCAAGCAGATGTCATATCTGGTCTTCAGAAATCTGATGGAATCTGTTTTCTCATTTTCATCTTTTTAAACTGATTAACTGAATTGGGTTTTAACCCAACTTTTACACAATTATTTTCATTTTTGGGTTTTTTATTATATTTAATTATTTTTATATTTATATATTTAATTATTTTTATATTATAGTTATATATTTAATTATTTTTATATTATAGTTATATATTTAAGTTCATGACACTTTCAAAATGCACTACTCTTTAGGTTTGAATATAAGAGTTGCATTTGGGGTCTGTAGTAAGCTTTTGCCCAAATAAATGATCCAGGCGAGTAGCCTCATTGAAAGTATGTCTGCTCATCAACACTGGAGTAAATTTAGGATCTGCTTGGTAATTATGAATCATTACTCCCTTTGTATTGAATGATACATGCCAGTTCCATCCCTCACCCACAACCGTTGAGATGTGAGAGCCTGGTGAGTGAAGAGATCTACTGTTAGTCTTTGCTCATCTAGATTTTGAGAGGGGGCACATATCTAGGATGAATATTTTGCCAACCTCAAAATATACACCCATTAATGACCAATACAAAATCCAGTATTAATTATAAAGATTAAAATAAAAATCTGGTATCGTAGGTTTTTAAAAAAATCCAGTATTAATTATAGGTTTCAAATTCAGACCCATGTACCTGTTGCCACAATTCTTACATATTATAAACTTTAGAATATAAAGTAAAAAAAAAAAAATATCCACTCCACTTTTTTTCAATCCGCATTTACAATGAGGGGTTGGGTAAAAAAAGTAATGTGATTTTCTGAAAAATTCACTCCTCAAAATTTGACCAAATGATGAAATATCAAATTTGTTTTTTGGTCTGGCTGAGAAACTTCATATTCATCGCAAAGTGGACTTTTCTTCTTATAGCTGTAAAGTGGAGAGAATTCTTTAATCCTAATGCCCTCTTGCAACAATTATCTCCCTTTTATCCAAGGCAAAAGAATTGTGTATTACTTCTCTCATAGCAGTAGTTAAATATTTTACGTTATATAACTCTTCAAAGTTAGGGATCAATTTGACATTGCATCGATATTATAAAAAAGACCCCCACTTCTAAAATAACAAATCAATATTTTTCAATTCTGACAACAGACACGACGAAGGTCTAACTCTTTTTAAAAAGAACATTAATCTACAAAAATTATTTACTAAAAAATTTTGATGTATCAAAAAGATGGTTTTTACCTTGACACCACTATTATTTTAACTACCTTCACTCCTCAGCAATCTTTATTGTTTTAAAAAGGTGATTAGAATTTTAATAAAACCTAAACATATGAAAGTGAATTTATTCATTTTCTTTGTTCTTTAGAATTGACAACAAAATAATAAACACCATTTATTATTAGATTGTTTATTTACAATATTTATTTATTATATTATTTATATTGGAATGGTTGGCAAAACAGCAGCTAATTGCCAACTGATTCAAACTTTATAAAATTGTTAATAATAAGGATTTCCTTATAGTTGGTTCACATATTTTAATAATTTGGTAAATGTTTTATAAATTTATGAATAAAAATCGTTTTCATATTTATTTCTTTATAAATTGGTAAATGATAAACATTGCATTGCATTAGTTTTAATTGTATTAGTTTTAAAAATGTTGAAATTATAAAAATTTTCTTGTAAATGAACAATCTAATAAATAAATAAATAGTGTTTAATATTTTTGTTGTAAATTCTCAAGAACAAAAATCTGTATAAATTCACTTTCATAATATGTTTAGGTTTTATTACAATTATATTCATTGCTTTTTCAAACAAATATTGCCAAAGAGTGAAGGTAGTTATATAATAGCAGTGTCAAGGGAAACTGTCCTTTTTATACTATTTTTTTCTTTCTTTTTTTTTCTTGTGTACATAAAGGTTCAAGTTTGCTAAAATATTTTCCTATTTTTTTATGAGTGAGCTAGTGCCTATTTTAAATCCCAGAAACTAGACAAATGCCAAACAATTGTTACCAACTCTGGGGAATTTAGAATTAATATCAATGTTCAAAACTTTTTGGAATATTTATTCTTTTTGGTGTAACATATCTGTTAGGTAAAGTGAAAAAAAAAAAATAAAACCCTGGCATATGTCATTCTTTTTTTTTCTTCTTTTATTGTGTCTTTTATGATGTTATAACAAAATTTTAATGATCAAAATTTGATAGTGATTTCTAATTAGAAGATTTGAGAAACGAATGCTACTGGTATAGTAAATGTAATGGTGAGAAATAGCCGTTTCCATACAGGAAACATTCAGTATTCATTGTCTGAACAGTTAGCAGTAATGTCATTTTGAAATTAATAAAATCTTTCAGAGTCTGTATATTTCTGAGATGAGGTATTATGTACAGTATTTACATTAGTTGGACTATTGTCCTCATCTTTGTCGCCATATTTTCACAACGTTTCGGCCGTTGTACGCTCCAGCCTTCTTCAGGTAGTTGGAATTTCGAACTGAACCCTTTATTTCGATCACTGGGGTAGACTGTTCAGTTCAAACACATCAACAAGTGATGTTGACAGCAAGTCCTCTAATGATGAGGGACTGGTCAAAATAAAAGATGTCTTGAGTATGTCTTCAGAAGAAAACTATGCTCAGCCTAGTGAAAATATATCTGATGTACCTTTGGGAGGTGATACATCAGGTGAGGAGACAGTAGTTGCTCTTTTGAGAAGAAACTCAATTTTTGAAGATTGTAGATAAAAAAGAGAGAAAAAATATTGCTTTCATTAACATTCCTCAACTCTTGCTGAACATTTACAGAAACCAAACATTGGATGTGTGCCCCATTAGTAAGTAATGCATTTCAGCAATGCAAGCAAACCTGGTGCTAAGCAATGATGTGGAGGGTGCTCGACTGGGCAGTCCTGTGGAGAAGAGATTCTCATTGAAGAGGAGATCAGACCAGTGCAGAATGCTCAATGGTCAAAGGTGTGGGACTTGATGGTATTGAAGCAGGTGGCAAGGGTCTTGCTGAGAGGCCATGTCTAGTAGCATAGAGAGGCCAACAAGATTGTAAGCTCATAGCTTGGTGCCTTCAGGAGATGTTGTGATACCACTATAGTGGTCTCCAGCAGCTCTTCAGTTCCTCATCGGAAAGTTCTGGGAATACCACAGGGACCGTTACCTCTATGCCACCTTTATCAATCTTAAGTCTGTCTTCGACACAATTGACAAACTGACAACTGTGACACAAGCTGTGCTTCTCACACTTCCATCAAAGCTCTTCACCCACTTCCTCATGCTCTAAGATGGCACTGTGAATTGCATACAGACCAAGAAATGATGGCATTAGTTATTCTTTATACAAGTAGGGTGTTGTAACCTAGGGAAGGTTACTGAATAATCACACAAAGTTGGTAATAAACAATAATACTTAGGACACAAACAACACGTATACAATTCACCAGCGGCGCATAGACGTAGTAGTCAACTGCTAAGAAGTGAGTCAAGGGAATTCCACAATGAATCTTCAACTGCAGGATACCTACCAACTGCCCCATGCAGTCAGATGTGGCACAAAGCCAAATTTAATGTGAGGTATCCAAGCCCGTAGGCTCAGCCAAAAATTCCTCGTAGACCCTGTATAAAATGGGGTTGGGTAGCTGTTTCCCCCAGATGAGACTCTGCTTTTCGACATAGCATCATCTGGGGATCCTCTCTGCCCGGAGTCAGAGAGCTTGACCAGCACATGTGGAGATGAATTTCCAACTGCAGACCAACATCCAGTATTTACTACTGTAGTTATGTGAATGGGGACATACCCATTATTGTCCTAGGTATGCTACAACATAGAGTAAAGTATAACAACACAATAAGTGGGATTGGTAAGCAGAGTTCAAATTCTTGTTTTGTCTATCACATTCACTTTTGCACAGATGCCTTTAGGAATGTCATACATGTACCTTTTCTCTCCATTGCTATCGGTTATAACTACCTGCACATCCATGTGTTGGTTAGCCTGCATGTTAGGTTAAAAGAATTAAATTGTTAGACTCTCTGACACAGATATTGTTTAAAATTTCCGTATATTTATAGAACATATTATTATCATGTATGGCTTGCAGCTACATTACATTGAAACACCAGTTCCCATATGATCACTGAAGTTAAGCAACGCCAAGCCTGGTCAGTACCTAGATGGGTGATTGCTCGGGAATACCAGGTGCTGTAAGCTTGGATGTGTGGGTGGTGTAATGAATAATAGCTTGGAATTATTAATCAGAGAGCCGAGTTCTAATTCCAGTTGGGTTCATTTGTGTGCAAATACTTTTGGGAAAGGTATGAATCCACCTCTTTCCCCCAACTATGGGTTAATTAGTAAGATTTGTATCACTAAATATCTCAAAAAAATTCTTACAATCTAAAAATATTTTTTGTCTTTAAATAATCTAAAAAGGTTAAGCTGTAAAAAAGACAAATCAATTGCTCAATCAATATCATGCATTTTTTTTTTTTTTTTTTTTTTAAGCATTTCACACCAAGCAAGGCAGGAAGCCACTAGGACACAAGGGGTTACAGAAAATTTAGAGCAAGATCAGATAGGAGTGATAGAAGAAAGGATGAGGAGAAGAGTAGTGGATAGATCAAGGCAACTGGAGATGTCGATTGACATTACACTTGAATAGTTGGAGATTATAGCTCACCGGGAAACGGGAATAGCGAAGGGAGTTCCACAGGCGAGAGGTGCGAGACATGAAGCTATTGGAGTAGAAGAGATAGCTATATTTAGGAGTTTCGACAGTGAAGGGGTGAGAGCGGGATGCCAGCCTCGTATGGCGCTTGAACTCATAATGTCTGAATTAGAATGTTTGTTGATATAGTGTTTGACATAGTAATCAACACTGCATGGTGACTATCTGTTTCATGCCTTAAGTGATTATTAGATTATTATGCTGACCTCATAGCAGCATATAACCACATGAATAGAGACTTTCTCTACTCATCTGTTAGAAACTGTCTTCCAACCTCTGACTCCACTGAATGTCTAGATCTGATAGATATTGGCCTACAAATTTGTCTATGTCTGGTTAACCTTTAACATTCTGGAGGTGATTTTGTTTGCAAAGTAAAAATTTTACCCTGCCACTGCAAGTGATTCAGATAAATGAATGATAGCGTGTTTGAATTTTGCAGTTGTGTTGTCATATCCTGCTATGGCAACCGAAAATGACCATGACTGAAATTAAGTTATGCAGTAGAGGAGCCTTGAAAAACAATACAGTGGAAAGGAAAGTAATGAATAATGCAGTGTGTTAAAGGTTAAAACACTAAGAATAATTTCAAGCCTAATCAGGATGATGACAAGGAGGAAATGGGACCCCTCTCACTAATCTATTTAATCCCTTCCTAGATTATGTCCTGCACATTTACAAGCACAGATGCGAAGAGATGGACAATTTTATTTAAGCATAGCATACCATATCTTATGTATGCGGAAGGAAAAAAAGCCTTGTCAACAACAGAAGTATTTTAAAATTTAATTTCATTCAATTTTTAATCTCAGACTTTTTGATCTCCTGGACAGGGAGATGTTAATATCAAGCCTTTTTTTTTTTCATTTTTTTTTCTAGCCATTTTAAGGTGAAATTTTTAATTTTAATCTTCAGCTGGACGGAGATAAAAAGCTCCCATGAAAATAGCTGAAGATGTTAAAAATAGAATATTAAAAAGAATAAAAATAATAAACTGATGATGCTTTTTACTTACAGACCTGTTACTCCAGATATATTAATTGCAAATTTTATCAGAACCAAAAAAAAAAAATTATGTATTTACACTTTTGTGTCAAAAAAGAATGTGTATATTTTAATGTGATTGTCAATTTAAAAAAAAACAAAGTCTAGTTTTGATCAATTCCTTTGTAGAAAATGATGAGGAGGATGATGATGATGATGATGATGATGATGATGATCTGGAGTATGTATTTGAGGCCGATGGCACACACGCATCAAAGAAACCTGGATGTTCTAAGGCTCCAGGTAACTGAAAAAAAGAAAAAAATTTTAATTAAAAAAAAATATATTTCTTGATTTCTTCGCTAAATAAAATAGAAAAAAAAAAATTTTTATTGATTTTTCATCTCTACATTGAAAATTGTTTTTGCCAAGATGGCATTCTTCAGTTTGTTCTTTGTCTTTGTTATCTGCAGTGAAAAAAAAAATCTTTCTCAATCATTTTGTATGTATCTCACCCCAGATCTTGCCAGAATAGACTTTGCATTCAGTTCAGAGGTGACCTCTTAGCTGCTAAATCATGACCCCCCATGTGATCAGCCCAGCTGTACCTGGGATGTGCATATGTGGGAAAGAATCATGAGACAGATATATATATATATGGTCCAGTGTCCCTGCTATTTATCTTGAGTTTGATAAAAATCCAAAAAAGAATCCACAATATTATTGGTCCTGATCTGGTGGCTCAGCTTCAGTCACTTTCCCACTGCTGCAAAGTTGCCTTTTCTATAAATACTTTCATGGTAATTGTTCGGATGAACTCTTTGCTATGGTACCTAGACTTTTAATTTAAGTGAAGTATTTAAGGCTGGGATCAAGATCTCATTAATTGACAGTTGAGCTTGCTAAATGTAAGGGTAAGTTCTATGCCAACAGTTTCTTTTCTTGCACTTCTCACTTATGGAACTCCATTCTGGCTTCATGCTTTCCAGCCAACTTTAATCTGCAAAAGTTTAAATGCAATGTCAATCACTATCTACTGTCCTCCTGATTACTCTTTTCTCTTCCACCTCATTATTAACGTTTCTGTTCCTAATTCTTCCACACCCTGTAACCCCTTGTGTCTTAGTGGCTTTACTGCCTTGCAGGGGGGTGATACGATTTAAAAAAAAAAAAAATGATTAAAAAAACTAAAAACATGAGACCTTTCATACTAAAATATAAAGGCCATGTTCAGATGAGAACATACACACACTGGCTGACAGTAATTGACAAAGTTCAGAATTGAATAAAAAAATTTTTTTTTAAATTTCACCCCAAGCAAGGCAATAAAACCACTAAGAAACAAGGGGTTATCGGGTGTGAAATAATGTGGTGGGAGTGGGGGATATTATTAAGGACAAAAAAAAAAAAACCCAGAAATTAAGGAAGATGACAATTGACATGGCATTTAAATTTTTGAAGATGAAATTTGACTAGAAAGCAAGAGTCCATCAGAGTTTCACATGCAAGAAGTACAAGAAACTGTTAGCTTAGAGCTTATGGCTACATGTAGCCATTTCAACTGTAAATTGATGCGACCTATCTGCCAATCTAGTACTGTGCTTAAATTCATAAAGTCAAGATATCAAAGAGAACAGTTCATCAAAAAAATGAAAATATTTCTAGAAAAGGCACAGGGAAGCTATGTTATGGCTGTGGAAAAGTGATTGAATCCAAGATGCCTAATCAGGACTGATAACATTGCAGATTCTTCTTTTGATTTTGTCAATATCTAAATACATAGCAGAAGCACCAAACCAGATATGGCAGCAATATTCAATGAATGGTAGACTTATAAAGGTGTAAGATGGAATCCACCATGAACAATTGTCTAGCACAACACAGGGAACAAGCTTTTCTAGATTTTTCTAAACCTAGCAACTGATTCAGTATAATCTTTCCACTTCATGTGAATGGAAAATGTTAGCCAAGAATGAGTCACTCTCCTTGAGGTTAGCATGAGCTGTGTTGATGGAAAGCAAAAACAGATCATTTTTGAGATCAGCTGATAATTTGACATTATCAAACCGATCAGATTCACCATTAAGACGGGAATTAATAGTTGTATCATCAGCATAGATAATTAGTTGAGAACTGATGACAATGGTAAGGTTGTTGACAGAAACTAAAGTAAATCCAAGGATAGATCCATGGGACATATCAACATTAATGTAAAAAGATGTTATGTATAAGTCTTATGATTGCATGTATGACAAGGTTACAATTTCTTCATGAGATGAAATGGGTTAGTATCAACAATAGATTCTCTTTTCATCCTGCTTAGATACCGAACTGGTGTCATAATGAACATTTAATAGTAGATTCATTCAGACTGCTATTTTTGTGTCTATGGCCTATGAAGGATGGCCTCTGATTTCTTGTTTCACAAACCCTGACAAAGTGATGGTTTTTTTGCATATCTCAGAAAAATTCTATCATTTCATCATCTGATATGTTTCTTTCATTAGTTTCCTACCCCCTCTTTAATTTTTTATTTTTCAAATAATTTGTGGGGAGTACAAAATTTTTATAAAAGCTTTAAAACAGACCTATTAAAAAAAAGTCTACATTAATATATAATATGCACAAATATATGAAAACAAATATGAAGTTGTAAGAATTAGCATAAAATGGTAAATTGAAAACATATTGTCATTCCTCATTCTTCAAAGCATGATGAACAATAACCAAAGTTTTTCTTTTTCTTTTAATTTTTCAATTTATCATTGTATGGTGTTTTTTTTTCTCTCTCTCCTCCTTTTCCTCTCCTCATCCTTCTCTCCCTCTCTTCTCCACCCTTTTCTCTCCTCTCCTCTCTCCTCTCTTTTCTCTCCTCCCCTCCGATCTTTTCTCTCCTCTCTCTCTCTCTCCTCTCCTCTCCTCTCTCTCTCTCCTCTTTTCTCTCCCCCTCTCTCCTCCTCTTTTTCTCCCCTCTCTCCTCTCTTTTCTCCCCTCTCTCCTCTCTTTTCTCCCCTCTCTCCTCTCTTTTCTCCCCTCTCTCCTCTCTTTTCTCCCCTCTCTCCTCTCCCCTCCCTCTTTCCTTTCCTCTCTCCCCTCTTTCTCTTCTCTCTCCTCTCTTTTCTCTTCTCTTCTCTCTCCTCTCTTTTCTCTTCTCTTCTCTCTCCTCTCTTTTCTCTTCTCTTCTCTCTCCTTTTTCTCTTCTCTCTCCTCTCTTTTCTCTTCTCTTCTCTCTTTTCTCTTCTCTTCTCTCTCCTCTTTTTCTATCTCTTTTCTTCCACTTGTTTAATATATTTGTATTTATATATATATATATATATATATATATATATATATATATATATATATATATATAAAATAAACATACTTGTTTAATATATTTTATTCCTCTAATCTGATGCTTTTTATCCTTTTGGCTACCAATTAATTTGGCCCTTTAAAAGCATAAATATTAAAGTTTGCCCTCTAGAATAATATTTTATTATTATTATTAGCTACTGGCTTCATTTTTAGCATTTAGAAAAACCATCAAAGTATTTTTGCTTTGATTTTTTTTTTTTTTTTTTTTTTTTTTTAATTTTTATCTGTGGGGAAGCATTATTGTTCTTTAATCTGCCTGGTCTTTGGGCTCATAAGAGGCAACAAAAGGATAATTAGATATGTTAAGAAACACTATAACCTTTGAAAATGGGATCAGTCCACTATTACAAACAATAGTTAAACATATTGGTTCAATTCCAAATCTAATATAAAAGTCCTGATGCTTCTCTGGTGAACATTTATATATTCCTGCAGATTCGTTGTAAAGTTTATTGCCACAATGACACCAAGTGGTGCTGTTAAAATTCCTATAACAAATAACTTAACTTTACATGGCTTGGGTGTGCTAGCCCAATCTCCAATGCTAAAGAGCTCCAACAGCCTTGCTCTATACCCATAAAAAAAAATCATATCTTTCTATTAATGCTCTCAGAATTTAAGTATATCTCGGTCATAAGTTTTTTTTAATCAATTCACCCCAAGCAAGGTGATAATGTCACAAAGACACAAGATGCTACTGAGAAGGAAAGAGAATGAAAAGACTTTAGAAGGAAGCAGAAACCCATTCCTCAACAGGAAACAAGGAATAAACCTCTACTCCTGTTCAAAATGCCAGGGAGGAGCCTACTCTTATTGAAGCAAAGAAAAAACATATAGTAAATAAAATTTCATATTCTTTTTCTTTCTGTAAATTGTCATGCATTCTTGGTGTAGGATGTGTCTCACCCAAGATTATGCCAAAATAGATGTTATACTCAGTGTCCTTCTGAGAAGCTATGTGCAGAGATGACTTGAGAGGTAACCATCTAACTGCTAAGTGCAGATCCACATGATCAAGTGTGCCTGATATATGCACATGTGGAGGGAAAAAAACCATAGAGGGTCCCCAGAGGACACACACATGCATACTGGTTGAGTGTAATTGATGACTTCCAGAGTGAAGTAAAATGTAATGTTACATATGAGAGATTCAGTCTTGTGTTTTTGTTGTTAGCTGGACAAAGATGATAATATTACATTGGGAAATATAGTGGAGTGGTTTCCCATTGCCTTCTCCATAGTTTGTAAATCAGTTCCCCTTATCAACCAAGGCTAGACACCCTAGTATACCTTACTCTTTAACCCATAGTTGTCAGGAGAAAAGACTGCCAGACCTTTGTGAATGCAGCAGCCTATTTGAGCTTGGTTGGCCAATTCCACTTTCTGCACCAATCCATTATATTACCCATGCATCTGTGCATCTTAGAGATGATGATAAATATAGTATTGAAATCTTGAAAGTTTGTTGTTATTCTCTCTATCTCTTCTCTCTTTCTTTTTTCCCTTTTTTCTTTCCCTTTTTTTCTCTCTCTCCTCTCTCTCTCTCTCTCCTCTCTCTCCTCTCTCTCTCTCCTCTCTCTCTCTCCTCTCTCTCTCTCTCCTCTCTCTCTGTATTTCTCCTCTCTCTCTGTATTTCTCTCTCTCTCTCCTCTCTCTCTGTATTTCTCTCTCTCTCTCTCCTCTCTCTCTGTATTTCTCTTCTCTCTCTCTGTATTTCTCTCCTCTCTCTCTGTATTTCTCTCTCTTTCTTTTTTCTCCTCTCTCTCTGTAGTTCTCTCTCTTCTCTCTCTCTGTATTTCTCTCTCTTTCTCTTCTCTCTCTCTGTATTTCTCTCTCTTTCTCTTCTCTTTCTCTTCTCTCTCTCTTCTCTCTCTCTTTCTCTTCTCTCTCTTCTCTCTTCTCTCTCTTTCTCTTCTCTCTCTTTCTCTTCTCTCTCTTTCTCTTCTCTCTCTCTCTTTTTCTCTCTCTCTCCTTTTCTCTCTCTCTCTTTTTCTCTCTCTCTTTCCCTTTTCTCTCTCTCTCTCTTTCCCTTTTTTCTTTCCCTTTTTTCTCTCTCTCCTTTTCTCTCTTTCTCTTTCTCTCTCTCCTTTTCTCTCTTTCTCTTTCTCTCTCTCCTTTTCTCTCTTTCTCTTTCTCTCTCTCTTTTTCTCTCTTTCTCTTTCTTTCTCTCTTTTTCTGTTTTCTCTCTCTTTTTCTCTTTAAAAACTTTTAGTTTTTCCTTTCAGGGGAGAAAGGATTCAACCCCGCCAAACGCAGATTCACATCTGATGAACTCAAGCCACAGCCTTTGGTTAAAAAATCACGCAAGGTTAGGACGTTTCTCTTTTTTTTCTTGCTTTTTTTTTTTTTAACATAATTAGCCTTTCAATGACATTATTCCACTAGTGGAACATATTTGAACCTCTTTTTTCTTTTTTTAAATACTAGACAAGCGTTAATTTTTATTATTTTATCAATAATGTACACAAAAGAAACAAATGCAACATCTGCTTACATATGATGAAATAAAATTAATGCTTGTCTGGTATCAAAATATGTTCCACTAATGGATCAATAGGCAATAGGTTAAAATTTTGTTAATATCCTATTTGCACAGTTATTCAAAATTTGCAATGTTACAAAGTCTAGTACAAAATGAGAGCAAGAAGATTGTGCTGCACCAACTTCCCAAGTAGGAAGAGCCTTCTGCTTCTTTTTTGTGCTGTGTCCATTCAAGACATGGGCAATCATAGTTCTTGACAACTTCCAATCTCTTATAGCTCTAAACAATCTTATTAAAGAAAAGATTTGCTTGATTAGTGAAACCCTTCATTGCTATATTGGCACATTGGAATCTAACAAAGGATTCTTCAGCTAAAGTGGACGCAGGTTTCTTTTAATAAGATTTCTTGAATATTCAGGCCAGTAGACAAAATAAATATACTGTTTAGTAAATAACCAGAGCATCTACTCAAATATGGGTATCCACTAAAAATAAAATTTAAGGGATCAAAACTGTTGGATTAATAAAAAAAAATTTTTTAAATCCATTTTATATATATATATATATATATATATATATATATATATATATATTCATCATCATAGGACCCTTAGAGGGCAAATTAACAAAAGTATTACAAAAGATTATATCAGCCATGCTAAATCAGTAAAAAATTAATCAGAAGTAACATACTAGCATCTAATTCATGTAAAATAAAAAAAAAAAAAAAAACATACTAAATTTCAATCAAATAAACAACATGAAAGTAAAATCTTATCCCCACCAATTTTATTACTCCGAGGGAGTAATGAAATGTCCAGAATTGTCACTCTGCTCACTTTGAAGAAATTAAAAAAGGCATAACAGATGTCAGAAAAATACAAATAAAAAAAAAATGGCACTTCAATAAATACAATACTATTTACATTATTCAAACTATTGTCCTCATCTTTGTTGCCATATTTATTACGTTTCGGCCATTGTACGCTCTGGCCTTTTTCAGGTGGTTGGAATTTCGAACTGAACTCTTTATTTTGCTCACTGGGATAGACTGTTCTAGTTCTACGTGCCATGTTTAATAGATATCAGTTATCTCCTGTTCATTCCCCTCTTCAAGTTCTCCACTGCCTTAACCAGGTATTGAACTCACACTCTTTGGGTCCTGTCACTGGATCTAACCAATGCCTTTATCCACTGTGTCATGTGTCCTTGAGGATATAGATAGATACCAATACATACAAACACGTACATTTTGATATTCAATGAACATACCCTACCAAAAGAAATAAAAATAGGATATACAATATCCAACGTAGAGCTATACATCCTGAACCCCCATAGATGTCACAACTACCAGAAATTTGGCCATCTACAAGATCAATGTATGAGAGTACCAGTCTGTCAAGATGTGGGGAAATTTGAGACTGACCATGAAGAGTCACCCTGTGAAAGGCCTCCTTTATGCCCAAACTGCAAATAAAACCAGTCTGCAGATTTTAAAGAGTGTAAAACCTGGAAAAATGAAAAACAAATAATAAGAATAAAATATACACTAAACAACTTGTTCCAAGAAGCTAGAAAATAGGACAATACTAACTCACTTCTAACATAATATGCAAATATTACTAAAATAACAAATCTTCAAAATGGTATACAACACAATAAGAAATTAAGAACTTACAACTCTAATAAATGAATTAAAAAAAACTCTAATAGAACTACTAAAATTTAGTATAGATTATAAACAATGAGCTCATGAACAAGATCCATCTTTTAACAAGCTACAAAAAGAAACTTTTTTATCAAAATGCCTATTCCTTTTAGCACTTCCGACATCTGGTGTAACATATCTATGGCAAAGCTCAGGCCGTTCATCCCAATGACAATGCAAAGTCATTTTTGAAAAATTCCACAACATAGCTCACCCTGAAAAAAGGGCCACTCAGAAAATGATCAGAGGCCATTTTGTTTGGACTCATATGAATACAAATATTCATTCCTGGACTGAAAATTGTGTACCTTGTCAAAGGATAAAATCCATTGACACACAAAATCACCATCAGGAATGTTCAGCGAACCGAATCAACAATTCACACATATCCATAATGATTTGGTTGGACCACTCCCATCATCCAATGGATTCACATACATATTAACGATCATTGACCGTTTCACAAGATGACCCATAGCAATACCTCTCATCAACTCTACAAGTGAAACAGTTACACAAGAACTTATTCGTTCATGGATAGCAAACTTTGGCATATCTGAAAGGATCACAGCTGATCAAGATCCCCAATTTCTTTTCACTCTATTTAGGGAACTAACACAGTTGCTAGGAGTGAAACACATAAAAACAACTGCATATCAGCTATGTGTAAATGGACTAGTGGAGTGTTTCCACAGCTTAAAGCATCCCTTGCTGCATACCACAGTCCAACATGTTAGAACAAGAATTTACCTTTAATTCCCTTAGCATTAAAATCCACCATCAAAGAAGATTTGCAATACACCACAGCAGAATTGGTTATTGGAACTCAATTGTCTGCACTATTTACATTGTTCGGACTGTTGTCCTCATCTTTGTTGCCATGTTCACGTTTCAGCCATTGTACACTCTGGCTTTCTTCAGGTGATTGGAATTTCAAAATTAACCCTTTATTTTATCCACCGAGTTAGATTGTTCTAGTTCCACATGCCATACCTCTTCCAGATGTCTCTGTTATCTTCCTTTAACTCAGTTCTCCAAGTTTTTGTTGACCACTGCAGTAGCCAGGTATCAAACTCACTACACTTTGGGTCAATTCAAGTTTTATCCACTGGGACATGTGTCCTTGTGAACAAAACTTCGAAAACAGTACACCTGAAGAAAGCTGGAGCATACAATAGCCAAAATATTGTGAATATGTCAACAAAGATGAGGACAACAGTCCAAACAATGTAGTGTAAATAATTACAATGATTCATCTCAGAAATATAGACAGAACTGAATTGGTTTTACTGGATACTCCAGAAATTCTGCTAACAAGAACTTTTGTGAAAAATTTAAAAGCTACAATGAGTGACCTATCTTTCACAGCACCTGGAAAGACTATGAAAGATATACACATGCCTAAAGATCTTTTCTCAAAGAATTTTGTTTTTGTGAGAAGAGTGAAAAAAAAAAACCCCCCAAAAAACAAAAAAAAAACAAACACTTCAACCGGTATATGACAGCTCATTGCAAGTGATTCATAAGGCAGAGAAATATTTCGCCATCGAACAAAATGGATGTACAGACAACATATTGATTGACAGAATTAAACCAGCTCAATTCACTGAAACAAACTACAAAACCACAAACTCTTACCACAGATCAACCCAAGGAAGATGTTACAGATCATAACAAATGCACAAGATCAGGCTGACATATCTATTGGCCCATCAGATTAGTCATATATACGATTACCAACCTTTTGCATTTCAACCCCTCAGGTACTTTTAGCTGTTAACTGGTATAACTATAATGCTTTCCAAAGCATTATATCACCTCCAAGCAGCAAGCTACCTAAAAACTACACATGTTTCAAACATCACTCACTATTTACGAAACAATTTTGAAGGCACGATTTTAACAAACCCTTTTAGATAGTAAAGGCTCTAGAATTAACTCGTTTGGCGAACTCTATATTCAACACCATTTTTGACCCCCTGTAAGCAAATCAATTCATTTTTTTCTTTCCCTGTATAATTTCTTGGTAAGGTTATTTTGATAAAATTCTCAACACAACATTTTCTCTGTTAAGGCAGTATTTGTAGTAGAAAAACACAATTTACACAGAGATAACAAAGCCAAATTTATACAGTTATTAGAAAACCTATATCTCTAACTCTACACCAATTTGTCATCTAGCTAAGTCACACATACACCTCACTCTACTCAAAACAAATTTTAAAACAAACACAAATATATCAGAGTGCTGGCCATTATCAATGCGATTCTTGCTTGCCACAGATGCCTACAACTATGTCCATGCATTTCCCTTATATAGATTATAAGAGAAGATAGACAGGGCAGAGAGAGATAAAGAGACTTCACACAAACACTAACCATAGAGGTTACCTGAGAGCATGGCTGACTGCTTATTTGACCATCAGGCTTTGAAACCAACCTCCTATGAACACAGAAATAGAACGGACTCCACTATCAATGCGACAAGCCCAAACAGCCAAAAGTCAGCTGGGTTAAGCATATTCCTTTTTCACACTTTCATTTTATACTTCATACACTGTACATTTTAATGTGACACTATACAACTTACCAGTGACCTTTTCATGAAAATAAATCTTTGGTCATTCCTCCAAACCAGTGTCTAATTTGTTACTTTACTCCAACCAACTTCCAACTCGGATCAGTTCTACAAAGTTGTATTATATCTGTCACTCTTTTCAACATAGCAATTAATAATATTGTTAATTGCTTAAATGAACGAGTTGATGACCTTTTGATCTGTTACAGATTACAAAATAAACACACTGTAGAATGACAACTGCAAGTGTGAATAAATAAATTAAATCAATGGTCTACTGAAAATGATTTCAAATTCTCTCCAACCAAAACAAAGTGTATCCGTTTCTGCAATCTGAAAAAAAAAAAAAATGCACAGTGATCCAAACTCTTAGACTTAAAGTAACAGAAATTGAAATCACTGACCAACATAAATTTCTGGGAATTACATAAAAACACTTTTATCCCCCACCTAAAATAGATAAAACAGAAATGCTATAAAGCCAGGTTGTCATTAACACTTACTAGGGAGCAGATTGAATATCCCTGCTGAAATTATATAGAACTTAAATTATATAGAACTTAAATAAGAACAAAATTGGACTACAAATATCTCATATAGGGTTAATATGGAAATTCTACCTAAAACCCTTTGACCATGCAGGATTGAAACTGGCTCTGGGTGCCTTCAAATCATCACCCATAGAAAGTTTATACACCGAAGCCCATGAGACACCGTTATGTATGTAATTATTTACACACTTTACATTCTTCAGACTATTGTCCTTATCTTTTTTTGCCATCTCCAGGACGTTGTACAATCTGGCCTTCTTCAGTTGCTTGGAATTTCAAACAGAACACTTTATTTCAACCACTGGGGTAGATTGTTCGAGTTCCATGTGCTATTTCTCTTCCAGATGTCAAAGTTAACTCATCTCTCCAAGGTTTTGTTGAACTCAACACTCATGGCTCAAGTCACTGGATCCATTCAACGATTTTATCCACTGTGCCATGTCATTGAAACATGAGTGTATGAATTTTTGGGACTTACAAAATTAATGTCTCAGTAATCATACCAGACCTCATATTGCAAATTTTTTGTTGTTGTTATTGCTGCCTAACATATTGTATTCATTTCTATGCTTGCTTGGTGTAGGAGATTTTTGTGATGTAGCATATGTGCTGATTCTTTAAGTTTTCATATTTTCCAGTTATGTTCTCTGTCTATTATTTCAACCCTCTCCCACAGGGATTGGTGATCACCCTTTCCTTCTGTATATGGTCAGGTACACATGATTTTCCTATTTCCTCCCATGTTACAGCTTTACATATATATATATATATATATATATATATATATATATATATATATATATATATATATATATAGGCTATCACTTGATGGATATTATGATCCTTGTTTTTTAAAGTTATAAACAGTATTAGATCTTCCTTAAATATACAAGCACTTTCGACAGTGGATACAGTCATCATCAGGCATGGAAATTATTTTGTTTTTGGCCAAATTCAGGTAGCACCCAAGATGAAAAATATAATGCGAATCAAAATGTTTTTTTTTTTGTTGTTTTAAATGTATTTTAGATAACGGATACAAACCTGTGGAGCATGCAGTTGTAACACTAAGATTGATTTTTTTTTTCTTTTTGAAAATTTAAGTGAGTATTGCCTCAGTTGTTGTTCCAAAAATTTACGTCAGATCAGTTCTTTTAAATCAAATATGTGGTGCAGTTTAATTTATATTATAATGAATCATTCATACAAAAAGTATTTCACTATTTTATATCATTAATTTTATTAATTAACTTTTTGTATGGATGATTCATTGTAATATAAATTAAACTGCACCACATATTTCATATATATATATATATATATATATATATATATATTACATGGAATCGATCTGTTGGTATATAATCTGGGTGGATTCTAGTAATATTAGTTATTAGAACTGATCCACTGAGAACTCGATGTATTTATTATAACAGAGCGTATGTATTTTTTTTACAGCAAAAAAACAAAAATTACCTCAACATAGAGGATAGTCTATTTCAAGCCATTCTGTACGCGGCTATCATCAGCCCCTAAGTGTCTGTCTCAGAGAATTGTTTTAAATTTATTTTCAATGTCCACCTGAACTAAGCACCACAATGACGAATTTGATGTCCCTATAGGAGCATATGACTCGGCCCAAGTTGCAGACCCTAGTATGTTTTTACATTTTAGATGAGCTTAGAATCGTAAAACCAGAAAATATTTACATATACACACACACACACACACATATATACATATATATATATATATATATATATATATATATATATATATATATATATATATATTCATAAATTAGATTCAAACTGATAAAGATGTTATCAGAACTGTTTTTTACAATATTAAAAAAGTACGATTGGTCGGGTAAACAAACTGTTATAACTTAAAATTTTTTTAATATGTTCTCTTTAAATGTGTTAATAAATATAGTATTTAACTTATATTAAATCCCTAAACTATTTGTAAAAAAATTAAATATTTAAATTGATAGCAAGCTTCATATTAATTTTTTCGGGTTTTTTTTAGACATCTAAATTACTCTCAAGCATTAAAATCTATTCTTTACATAAATTGCTAAAACCCAATTACAGCCTCTTTCCCTTTACTTCCCTCTCCCTCTTCTTTCTTTTTCCTTTCTCCCTTCTCCCCTCCCATTTCAATATATCCCTTCTGTTAAGTTAACCGTCTAAATAGGTCAAGGTCTGGTCACTCCTCCTCCTCCAATACTAAGCATGATTGAGAGAGATATGAAATTAATCCCTCCCTAAACTCTACCATGTCTCTTTAACTACTCCTTTTACACTCTCTGTTAAATTACAAAAACTTACACTACCCATCAATTTTAATTTCATTTTTCGTTTCATTTCATTTTTGGAAGTGCTATCTGATGATCCGGCGTCCTTTAAAAGAGCTCTGGTGAAATAAATTATTATTATAATGGTACCTTAAAATAGTCTGTTTTTCTTTAAAATATATATATATATATATATATATATATATATATATATATATATATATATAAAACACACTAGCTTAAAATCTGCGGTATCAGGCTGCATTAAAATAGCTCCTGTGGAATACTCTTGATTGGGCCTTTATCATGATAGATAGGGATGAGTACATGCAATAGGCAACAATAAACTACAGAAGAACTCAAAATTGATCACTGCATTTAGGTACTTCATTAATATTTAATCTTACCTTTTCAAACTTCAATGATAATTCTTCTGCCACCACTTAATTTGAAGACAATTTGATGTACGTAGGTCCTTACTTTTCATACAAACAATTATTTTCTTTTCATTGGTGACTTTTGATCATTCCCACATTTATTTCCAAGTCAGAAAAATTGTTTTAGTACAAAAAAAATTTGTCGCAAGAAATCACATACAAAAACTGCCAAAAACAATCACAGTAATGAAAATTTGGGAATCCAAAAATTTCAGTTTTGCAGTCCAGATCCATCCCAGAGTTTTAACTTTGATGATCACTGTGGCAGCCTGATTTCAAAACGGTATAATATGTTGGACCACTGTGTAGCTCAATGGTACAGCATATCAGGCCAAATGACAGTTTCCGTATTGAAATACAGGTTCAATTCCTCTCGGAGAACACATATTTTGTGCATTTCTGAAACATTCAGGCTGGTAAATGTAATTAATACTGTTTGATTAAAAACAGAGCATTTACTTATATAAATTGCATCTATAAAAATAACATATAAATAGAAAATATATATAAATATATATAATAGGCTATTTTTCAATTTTTTCTCCTTTCTTCTCTATTTTGCAGGTGTTTGTCCCTGATGAACACAAGGATGAAAAATATTGGGCCAGGCGTAAGAAGAACAACGTAGCTGCCAAACGTTCTCGAGATGCCCGTCGTGTGAAGGAGAACCAGATTGCATTGCGTGCCAATTTCCTTGAGAATGAGAACCAACTCTTGAAAGCCAAACTGGAAAAGGTGCTCAAAGACTACTCTGTTATCAAAAAGGAAAAAGAGACATTGACCTCTGAGAATTTGTATCTACAAAAGCAATTGAACAAATTCAATCTTTAAAACAAACAAAAAAATCCACACGTTATTTCTTGCTTTATTTTGTTTTATTTCTTTATAGAATACTCTCACATAATTTTGAAGTATTTTTTTTATATATATATATATATATATATTTATTAAAGACATTTTATGTTTAACGTTGTTATGTCTTTAATAAATAAATTGTCGGACCTTGTCCATTTCTTAACATATATATATATATATATATATATATATATATATAGGGTGTGTAAAAATTCAGATATAAATAAAATATATCTAAAATGACAGTATGAATAAAGACAAAAGGAAAACTTTTTCTTTACTGATGCATCTTGTCCCCTGAAGGACTTTTATCCAGGTAAATTTAAAGATTTTATTTAAATAAGACAGATATAAATTATATATCAAATTAAAATAATGAATAAATATCAATTACATAAAGTATATATATATATATATATATATATATATATATATATATATATATATATAAAAGAAATAAAAGAAAAATTCAACAACCACATTAATAACATTTCTACATTTTCATTTATTAGGCATTAAATTACATTGCATCCACCATCGTTTACTTTGACTTACAAACTTAGCTTTAAGAATATTTTAGAGTATTGTTAAATTTTAAAATTTTGAAAACTCAATTTTTTTTTTTTTTTTTTTTTTTGTATTTCTGTTTATAAAATACATGTTGCAAAAATAAAATCCTTATTTTTATCTTGATAAAGTCCGTCAGTGGATGAAACACATAAGTAAAGGGAAGTTTTCATTTTATCTTTTATATATATATATATATATATATATATATATATAAATATGGAGGAATTTTAAAAAAATCTAAGCTAAAACAATATATTTGTGATACTTTGACTTTGTTCAATTCAAAAAAATGTTAATTTACTTTTGTTACGGTTTCACTCTTTTTAACAATTTTTAAATCCATCATCTGTTCCTATTTGCAGAAGACATAATCAAATAACATTCACATTTTTTCCTTTCTTTTAACAAATCATTTATTTAGTCAGGTAAGTAATTTTGATTAGCTGCCTTTTTTTTTCTATTTTAAAATAATTGAAAAAAAAGCTTTGCTGACATGACATTAGAAAAACTTGCCATTTCATCAAAAAAATACTTCATGAAGATGTTATTTTGAAAACAATATTACAAAATTTTCTGCAGAGAACTCTTCAGTTTGAAAAGATAGAAAATATCAGAGATATTTTTGTTTTATTACAGTTTAAAATTTGTCAAATAAAAATAATTTCTATTATGAATTAAGCACTGTAATCAGGCATTTTACAGGTTCAAAAGTCACTTTTTATTTTTATATTTCATCTAATACTTTAAGATTAAAAAATTTTAGATTAAAAAAATTTTTTAATCTAAAACATTTTTAATAGAAAGCCAGGATTGAACTAGAAAAGTATTAACTTGAATATCTTTTTATAATTGTCTAGAATTATGTCTGTTATGAAATTAAGTGACTTTTGACCTTCAAGTTTATCAAATGTCATAGGTTACAGAGTTCATTAAACATTAACAACTCAACTAAATACTTGTGACCCAGTTATACAACTACCACATCATTTTAAGTGCCATGAGTTAATAGAAATGCAAATAATGAATATGAATAAAACCTGATAAAATTTTGACCAGATTAAAACCAGGTTGGACAACAAGTTTTGACATTGTTCAATGGATTGATGGACAAAAATGTGAATGAAATGTTTTGATCAAATTTCAGTCGTATTAAAAGAAGTTTAGACAATGGACTCGTATTTGTATAATTATTGAAAGTAATTTTTGGTCTGAATGTTTTTTGACAAAAGGTGTTCTATTCCTTAAATTTGCATTGTTCAGACAGACTTGCATATTATTTTTTTTTTTTTTTTTTTTGTACAATTTGTTACTTTCTTATGACATTATGGCTATTGTACACTTTAGCCTTTCTTGTAGGTGTTTTTTTTTATATTTAAAAAATAAAGACAGTATACAGGGGCTGAAACATCGATAAAAGTAATGAAAAATAAAAGAATTTGTTCAGACATTTAGATACTATATTTGGAATTATGTATAAAAGTATATAAAATTCCATCTGATTTTCAGCCCATTTAAAATGAATGAGTCTCCTATTATAATTATGATGATGATGATCATCATCATCATCATAATAATAATCTCTGAACTTGTCTTTGGTATGAATCAAAATTATTTTCATTGTTTTTATGGTCCACCCTACTCTACTAATATATATATATATATATATATATATATATATATATATATATATATATATATGAAACCACTTTTTTTAGCCAGGTGTGCCTTACCAGTAGGTTAGATAGCCCCCAACACTCCAGTTTCTTTTTCTTTGTTAATACAAGTTCATCCAATACCACCAGTATCGAGAGCCACTCAAGGTAGAGGGTTAATGAAAGAGGTGTGTGACTGAAAGAGGTTTTTTTTTTTTTTTTTTTTAAATGTACATCTTTCGTTGGGATTTTTCAGTGTCTTTATCTTTTAACTTTATATTTTGTTCCAAAAACATAAACAGTACTTCAAGCAATTAAGTTCTTGACCTGAGATTATTCCTTAACACAAACATTATTTTAGAAAGTATACTTGTTTCAGTAGACATCTTTATTTAATTACAAACATTGAAATTAATGTCTACCAAACAAGATCATCAAAAGTCTTATTAAAGAAAATGTACTTCTCAGCAGGAACCGATCCTGAATTCTCTTTCTTCTTGGAAACCCCCTTTTAGTAGGCATTCCTTACCATTAGGCTACAGAAGTCCTTACAGCTAGGTAAGGCTCCCTATGTCTAGCTTTATTTGACTCTAGTATAAACTAGATCTCTGTGTATTATTATTTTTCTTTTTTTCCACTCATGCAAACTAGAATTTTGTCTACTTGTATATTGTATATGGGAATGAAAATCTGGAAAAGATTAACATATTGTAAAACCAACCAAACAAAAAGAACTGCTGAATGGTATTGTTATATATGTATATAGATAAATAGATAATGTGTGTGTTGCCTATTGATAAAAATTAAATAATTAGACATATATTAAAGCAAAAGAAGAATTTCTGCTAATAAAGTATTCAATAGTTATCTAGAACAATAATTATTTTAACAGAAATAATTTTATCAGAAGTTCACAATATTTCTTGAAGGTCAACTTGGCGTTTCCTGATTTCTCACTTGCCAAAAGACCGCGACAAGATTGATTTTATTCATTACAGAATGTATATTTTATTATTTTATGCTTAGTAACATTATTTATTCAGTCAAGATACCTCAGACATTCATGAATCTATCACACTAGCCATCAAGGTCAGAAGGTGATTAAGGCGGCGTTCTGTGTTATAACGTAAGTAGTTTTGCTTGCCAGCAGTGGCCTGCAAAGTGTATTCTGCATTCCTATAAAATTCTAGAAATATCAGGGATGGGTCCATAGAGCTGTAATTTAGTTGAATGTTTTCTCCAAGAGATGTTAAGTATAGCTTTCAGCATCTAAGTGTAGGTTCCATCAAACTTAGACTTAAGGGTTTTAGTTAATGTCCAAGCAGTGGCACCATACATTAAAAACACCTCTAGAGTGATGCAAATGATTCTCCATTTGAGGTGGTCTGGCAGATCATATTTTTTCTTTTTCAAATTTAGAATTTTCTACATTTACAACTGCACACACACACATACATACATACATACATATGTGTGTGTGTGATTACCAAGATACTGTTTGTATATGGTTTTAGTTGTGGGTATGCACTAAAGTTTTTGAAAATAACAAAATTTTCAGCTACTTTTTTTTTTTTTTTTTTTTAACTGGGCTAAATTTAAAATCTAGTGGACATTAATGACCACAGTGCAAGAATCACCAATCCTTTGGTTGCAACACCTGATAAAGATTTTTATTATTGTAGCCCCATCCTTTTCTTTTTATTAATAAATATATATATATATATATATATATATATATATATACATTGAGTGCCAGTGTTAATAAAATAGCGCTCAATGTAATAAAAAATTTGTGGATGAAACTCCAGGTCATGCTACCGGTGAAGAATAATAAATATATATATATATATATATATATATTAGTTTCTATGTTCCTTTTCTTACTTATATAGGTGTTCTCTCCTTTAAAAGAGCTTTTTAATAAAGATTAAAAAAATAAGATTTTTATTTAGTTACCTTTTAGTTAGCTTTTTTTTTTTGTTTTTCAAAAATGGCTGCCTGTTTGTTTTGAATGTTTCCAAAATCAATTCTTTTTTCATGTTTTTCAAAAGGTCATCACTGTGCCGACTGCTTGAAACAATATCATTAATTTTGCATATTAAATTTTTTAAATTTAATAAACAAAAAAATAATGAAATTGTAATGTAAGAAAAAAAAAAATGTTAAGCTTGAAAAAGTACTGTTACTGGACATCTAAATCGTGCGTGTGTAAAAATATATATATATATATATATATAATTTTCTTACCTCACTAAAAGTGATAACTCCAAATAAACTCACAAGAAACTGGAGACAAAAATAAAGCTCTGGAGCAATATATTTGCATAGAAGAATTTCTTTGGCTGATAGAAGAATGATCAAAACAGTTTAAAAAAAAAACAAAAAAAAAAACACACACACCAAAATAGAAAAAAAAAACTGCTAAACTAACCATGTCCAAAGAATACATAGCACCATCAAGATGAGAGCTTAGATTATATGTGAGCAACACAAGCAAGGTTATTGGCAGAAAAAACAACTTTTAAGGAAGCCAGGAAAACACCACTGATGACTTATTCAAAGAATGTATGTTGTTTTTTTTTTTATTTATATATATATATATATATATGCACGGTGGAGCAGTGGATAACGGCTTGGATTGAGGAATCGCAGAGCCGAGTTCGAATTCCAGTCGAATCCATTACATTCACTTACGTGCTAATACCCTTGGGAAAGGTATGTATCCTCTTCATCTCCCTCCAGCTATGGGTAAAATAGCAGGACAGACTGGGTTCTATAGCCTTGGATGGCAACTGGTCTAGGAGAAGGACAACTCTGAATTCAAAACCTGCGGAGGCTCGTTTGGGAACCTTGTGGCATGCATTCGGTGCACCAGGTTTCTGTATTCGTCCCTCCAAAAAGTGTGGCTGGTCCTGCATGAGGCCTGCACCACTATAATCAAATCTCATGTGCCGGTGTCGGGTTGCCGGTTTCCTGGGGACTTATCGGCCTGACCCTCATACGTCGAACGCGACGGGAGAGTCGATTATATATATATATATATATATATATAAATTGATTTATTTAAAAAAAATTTTTTCGCTACACTGTTCTAACCATGTTTCAAAAATGTGTAGTGAAAAAAAACATATTTTAAATAAATCAATTTATAATATTAATGCTCTGTAAATTTACATTGAGCACTATTTTGTAAAAATAAAAATATCTATAAGAACACCGGATTATATATCTTACTGTTCTTTCTTTTTATTTATATACATACATACATATATATATATATATAATTTTAAAATGGCAACAATTAAGAGAAAAAGAAAGGAAGGGTTAAGGAGTGAATGCAAAATGAAAAAAACTACAAAAAAGAAAATCATGACATTTTACACATACATGCAGACAGACATGAATGTACAGACATGCAGTAGAAAAAAAAACAGCTTACAGCAATGAAAAGTGCATATAAAAAAAGAAAAATCAAAGTATAAGGAGGCTGATACACCCTGATGAGTAAAAGGAGGGATTCTCAGGGGATTCATCCATCTACCAAATTCTGGTGTTGGGATGCTGAAGATAACATCAATCAGCTAAGTAACAAACCTTTTACTTGTATTAATTACACACACTCACATAATAGGCTATATTCATGAAATAAGCTTTGAAGTAAAGGTTGTTGGGGGGCAAATACTTTTGATTACACCTTATTATTACAGCTACACATTTTTTTAAAACAATTCTGTATGGTGATTTTTAAGTGTAGCTACGATATGGCACAAGGCCAAAAGCACGGAGGCAACCGAGTAAGAATCAAATTCCCTATTCAGTCGTAATTGATCTCATGAGACAAGCTTGCTAACCATTACACCACATCAAATTGCCGAACGAACATTTGTATGGATACATACATGTTACTTAGATTTTGTTTTTATCTAAAATTCTAGAAAAACCCAAACGTCTACAATTCAAGCAAGAGCACCATAAAAATGAAAAGGTAGGGGGTGATAACTCAGATGTTAAAAGTGGGTGGGGTCAAGTCAGCCATTAAGTTTTAAAAATTCTTCATTTTATCCTTTTTACTAAGTCAATTATTTTGTCTATATTTCTGAGATGAGGTATTATGTACATTATTTACATTATTCGGACTATTGTCCTCATCTTTGTCGCCATATTTATTAGAACATTTCAGCCGTTGAGCTTGAGGTTTAGGAGAAATAATAAAAAGACAAAATTTGTTAAGAGCTACAAAGAACAGGAAATTGTAGAGAGCCATGATCAACATCCTGAAGCGACACAGCACATAGAAGATATGACTAGTTTGGTGTTCTGCATTTTTTTATGTTCAATACTTCCTGACTATTAAAATAAAGATCACAATTGAGTATTTGCCTTGTCCCAATTCTTGATATATTCTGTCACTAATTTATAATGGTTATTGTATACCTACTTTTGCAACCCTTTGTTTATTTAGTTAAATAGCCAGGCCATGTCACATTAAAACACCAGTTCCTGTGTGATCACTGAAGTTAAGCAATGTCAAGCCTAGTTAGTACTTAAATGGGTAATTGTTGTGCAGGTGGTATAATGGATAATGGCTCGGAATTGTTAATTGGAGAGCTGAGTTCCAATTCCCATTGGGTTCGTTATATTCACTTACAGCGCTAATACCATTGGGAAAGGCATTGGTTAATTAGTAAGATTTGTATCACTAAACTATTATCTCCACTATTTGTCTATATTTCTGAGATGAGGTATTATGTACACTATTTACATTATTCGGACTATTGTCCTCATCTTTGTTGCCATATTTATTACGTTTTAGCCATTGTACGCTCTGGCCTTCTTCAGGCGGTTGGATGTCGAACTGAACCCTTTATTTCACTCACTGGGGTAGACTGTTCTAGTTCCATGTGCCATGTTTAATGGATGTCAGTTATCAGTTTTCTCCTGTTAATTCCCCTCTCCAAGTTCTCCACTGCCTTAACCGGGTATTGAACTCACACTCTTTGTCTCCTGTCATACCTGGCTGAAATATAATAAATATGGTGACAAAGATGAGGACAATAGTCTGAATAATGTAAATAGTGTATTATCTCCATGAAAAAAAAAAAATGAAAATTCTTACAATCTAAAAATGTTTTCAGACTTTAAATAACCTGCAAAGGGTTGATAAGTCATAAAACATGAATGAATGCATCAACCAACCAATCGAGCAAGCTACAGAGCCAATTGTGCAGGTGGTTTATAATGGCTTGGAATTGTTAATCAGAGATCCAAGTTCCAATTCCTGCTGGGTTTGTTATATTCACTTACAGTGCCACAACCATTTGGAAAGATATGAATCCACCTCTTCTCCACCTCTAGCTTGTATCACTAAACCATTATTTACAAATATATATATATAATAACCTGTAAAGTGTTAAGCCGTAAAAAAAAAACAAATCAATCTACAGAGCTAATTGCAATTTAAGCATTCATTTAACATATTACATGTATCAATGTCTGGAATTACTACAATATCACTGGAAGAGCACACTTCAAAGAGATTGGTGATTTGACAATTTTTATTTAGTAGACTCTTCTATTAACTTTAAAAAGAATTAAATAGAAAAAAAATACTACCTGTATCTCATATTAAATTTAGGGTATGAAATGTATTATGCAAATAGCTATTCCATAATCTGAAACAGTTGAAAATATAGATTAAATTCAATGATTCCTCATTCAATCTGTGTGTCTGTGTGTGAGAGAGAGAATCTATACACATTTCATTACCCTCATTAGACCCAATATTTTTAACAAAGGAAACAATCTCTGAAGAAATTATCCAAATATTTGGCTCATATTGACAGTTCAATGGCTGCATAATGATTGCTTTCTTTTTACTTTGAGCAATATTTTTTTTAATTCAGTTATCTTTTTGATTGAAAGAGTTCATTATGAAAGGCTCTGACTGAAACAGTTATATGAAGGAGATTGTGAAAGAAATGTGTGTTCAATTCTTACATGCTACAAATAACTTCTCAAGGCTGGACCAAGGGAGGAGGAGATCTGTGAAAAGGTGATGTTTATATTTTCATTACCTAAGCTAAAAGGATACAAACAAATTACATAAATACATACATACATATATATATATATATATATATATATATATATATATATATATATATATATATATATATATATATATAAGAAAATTTAGAAGTATAAGCAGTCAATTGCTGATAATCTATGATGAGCAGATGGAATAATTTCCAGAGGGTCTGTCTATGAAACTCTGGAGTCAGAATGCTGAAGGTAACATCAATCAGCTAAGTTAAAAACCTTTTACTTGTATTAAATAATTTATATATATATATATATATATATATATATATATATATATATATATATATACACACACACACTACAGTTTGAAGCCACCCCCAGAATTAGCATGGGATGAACATAACAGGAGGTGAAAAAAATGGAATCAATTATCAAACTTGTACTTTGAGAAACTTTTTGCAACAAATGCCAAAAATTTGTACTGCAGTAATCAAGGCTAAAGGAGGATATTTTGATGAGAGCAAAATTTAATCGTAAAATGCTTTTTTTTTTTCTTTTTGTCATAATAAAATTTCTAATAAAAAAACATGTCTGACATTTTTTTTTAACCATGTATAATAGTTTTCTGTTATTAAAGTACAAAACAACTACTTTTTGGACCAATGTAAAAAAAAAAAAAAAAAAAAATACCAGGGGTAGCTACAAACTTTATTTTAATTCCTTATGAAGTTTCCATATGTAAATAAATCACCAGTGCAAGGGAGATAATGGAGAAATGTTTATAGACAAACCAAGATCATAAAAGTAGTCAAATGACCAGGATGGAGGTGGTAGTGCAAAAAGAAAAACTGACAGATGGAGTAAATGGTTGCTTGTTTGTTTCCCAATAGGTAAAATATGTTGCAGGAAAAAAACCAGATGGAAGATGAAGAGGTGAACAGGTTTGCTGGCAGAGTCATGGAAAGATTTGAGAAGGGTCTTTTTACTGCAGTGGATAAGCAATGATAATACTCTTTTCTATCAAACCAAATTGTCAACACATCTGCTTTTAAGGTTAAAATTCAGTGGTAGATCATTGGACAAGGTTCTGAGTTTTTCTTTCCCTAGCCTCTACCAAGTTGCCATAGAATTTGGCGGGGGAGCCTAAGAATTTTTTTTTAAGACTAAGTTCCTATGTATTTGGTTATTTCGCAAAAAAGGATGAGGAACAGAAGGGTTGGAGAACATTTGAACTTGCTACTTGTCCAAAGCACCTCTCCATTGCATTAAAAAAAAATACTGCATTCAACCATATTAAAATTAATTTTGTTGGGCATTCCCACAGCCACTGATGGGCGTGGCAGTCTCCACTATCTTGTCAGCACTTGGGATTTCTGTCTTTTCTAAATGCTTTTGCTTTCTTTTTTTCCTTTTTCTTTCTTTCCTTTTCTTTTTTCTTTTCTTTTTTTCCTTTTTCTTTCTTTTCTTTTTTTCCTTTTTCTTTCTTTTCTTTTTTTCCTTTTTCTTTCTTTCCTTTTTCTTTCTTTCCTTTTTCTTTCTTTCTTTCTTTCCTTTTCTTTTTTCTTTTTCTGTTTTTCCTTTTCCTTTTTCTTCCTTTTTTTCCTTCCTTCCTTCCTTCCTTCCTTTCCTTTTCTCTTTCTTTCTTTCTCCAGAGATATCACTTCCCCCCACTTCTCATTCAATGTCTCTTTAAAAATTAAAAAAAAAATGTTTAAATATGTTTTATTAACTAAAAAGGACTAAGAATGTCCATTAAGCCTTTTTGGTGAATAACTCTTGAAGTGAAATAACAAACAATGGTCAGAAGTACTTGACAGATTACATTTTGTCAAATTCCTTTACGAATTTCCACACAACATCAGATGACTTATTCAATTCCAGAAGAAACACATGCGTTCTGTTGAACAAAATGCAAGAATTGTTATATACACCCACAGAGTAGAACACAATGCATATGGCAATAATAATACTCTAACCAAATTGTCACCACATCTGCTAGTTTTATTCCTTTTAAGGTTAAAGTTCAGTGGTAGATCATTGGACTGAAATCCACAAGGTTCTGAGTTTTTCTTTCTCTAGCCTCTACCAAATTGCCATAGAATTTGGGGAGAAGCCTAGGACACAATTCATATGGCAGTTACTAACAAAGGGAGGTAAATATTATTCTACAAAAGCTATAATGACTTAGATTGTTAACAAAATCGTTATTAGCCATCCAATAAATAATTATTTGACAGAGGAAAATAACAGAAAAATTCAGTTGCAGTGAGGAGCATTTGTTTCAATGTACTCTTCACACACCTTTCTTGATAACCCTTTTGAGTTAAAAAAAAAAAAGATAAATTCAAATAACAATTGTATAACAACACTTTATATTGTATATTATTGACTACCCAATTACTTTTGCCCTCAAATTTGGAAATAGTCTGAGATTAATATATAAAATCCATGTCTTGTTCATATCCATCATTCATGTGTTTATTATCTCTCAACTTTTGTGTAAAAAAAAAAAATCCTCAACATTAGCAACACTTCTCTGCACACCCCCTCACTGTAATCGCTGAGATAATATAAATAAATTTATTAAAATCCATAAATTTTTTTTTTTTTTTTAAGCATCACGCCCCGAGCAAGGCGTGAAGCCACTAGGATGCAGGGTGTTGCAGAAGATTTGGAGCGAGAGCAGATAGGAGTGATAGAAGAAAGTATGAGGAGAGAGATAGTGGATAGATCAAGGTAACTGGAGATGTCGATTGACATTACATTTGAATAGTTGGAGATTATAGTTTTCAGGGAAACAATAATTGGGGAGGGTGTTCCACAGGCGAGAGGTGCAAGGTATGAAGCTATTGGAGTAGAAGAGACGGCTACATTTAAAAGTTTCTACAGTGTAAGGGTGAGAGCGGGATGCCAGCCTCGTAAGGCGCTTGAATTCATGGAGTCTGGGAACCAGTGAAAGCAGCTCATCGGAGCAATTACCATGAAAGTATTTGTAGAAAAGACAGAGAGAGGCGATGACATGCCTGTGAAAGATTGACTGTAGGCGAGATGCCAGATCAGGGCCAATTATATTACATATCCGTCTCTGGATCTTGTCAAGAACTCCAAGGTAAACAGAAGGTGCCCCAGACCATATATGGGAGCAATACTCTATGCAAGGGCAAATGCTTGATTTGTATATTTGAAGTATCGATTATATTAGTTTTCAATTATTGACACTTATTTTACTGAAATTCTGCAAATTTTAAAGAAATTTGATAAACAGACAAAATCCTGACTCAGCATTTTCACTTCATTCATTTTCTCACTGCCATGACATGGCTTCTCTGTTTTTCTACAAATATTTTATGGCAACTGTTCTGATGAGCAGTATTTACATTAGTCGGACTATTGTCCTCATCTTTGTCGCCATATTTGTCACAACGTTTCGGTCATTGTACGCTCTGTATTTACATTAGTCGGACAATAGTCCGACTAATGTAAATACTGTACATAATACCTCATCTCAGAAATATAGACAGACTCTGTTCTGATGAGCTTTTCTCCTTAGGCTTTGACTGCATGAATTTAAGCATGCTACTAGATTAGCAACTTGGACTCACTGTTTTACTATTGAACTAGCTAAATACAACTGTCCATTCTAAGTTTTTTTCTCACATTTCTTACCTGTGGAACTCCCTTTTAATTTCTTGCTTCGTTGCCAGCTACAATCCTACAAAGAAAATTGATAATCAAACACAGCCACATTCTTCACAAATTCATTGAATCACAGCTGAGTTAATACACTCTCCCTTTCTAGCACCATTCTTTAAGTTTTTGCACATTTACTTCTCTTGATTTCCTACATAAACCAAACAGAGGAATCCTGATAAGGAATCTTTTGAAATGTTTCCTGCTTTTGAGTTTCTAAATGATCATCCCTAATACTCACCTGATGCCCTTCCCACCATATTTGTTTAAGGACCACATAGTCGGGAATGTGGCAAGGCCAATGGAAGTTTAGCATTTTTCTGAGACCACACTGATGACAATTTTGTTTTATGCATCTATAAGAAACCCATGTTACACATAAATATGGAAGGACTAAAATAACACAGGCATTGTAGACGGCTAGTCCAGTCCCAAGTGTTGATAAATATTTGATATGATTTGTTTCTTTTGTCTAATGACAAACTCAAAATATTTAAAACTGTCTTTACAGTAAGTGCTATGGAGTATTTTGAGGAGAGTTTGTTTACTATCTTTTTATCTCATTTTGGTTGTTCGTGATAGATATAATATCTAAGATAAAGAATAAATAGGAAACATTTACCAATCTAACATGTTTCACTTTTATTAAAGCTTCATCAGAGAATGAGATATGGAGAAAAAGAAGAAATATATTCTGGTATTTTTACTTTCATGATGTTTGATTTTCATTGGTTAATCAGGTTTCACAAGCATTGTTAAATAAATGTTAGTATAATATGTGGCATTCTGAATTCAAGAAGAAATGATGTATACATTCAAAATTATATATATATATAAACAAACATACATACATACAAAGTATATTCATTTAAAAATCACAGAAAAAGTAGTTGTTAAATATTTTATTGTACTATTTCTTTTATATTCTCCTTCAGCTTCTTACAGAATTTTTTTTAGTAGATAAATAAAAGGTTCCTTTAAGAAACTGGTAAATAACTTAACCATTTCAAAAAATACAGAACTACTTTGGAAAATTAATATACAACCATTAAATAAAGAGCATCCATATAAGATGTTAGTAATACCAACTAATCAATGTAAGGTGTTAATAATACTAACTAAACACCTGTACATCCATATGTTAATAATACTAACTAAACATCAATACACAGCTATATTGAGTCAAAATGAATCTTACAAATATCATAGTAAGCCATATAAGGTGCACCACAATTCATCTACTGATTATTACTATGAGAAAAAGTATTATCAAATTGAATGTTTAAACATATTGTAAGGTAAAAGGTAGGCTATGCCTACAATTTATTGTCTATTCACTTCTTTGGTTTAATAAGGCGTTCTTATCAGAATATCTGATAATTTCTAATTTTTCATGTAAGCATAGAAAACGGGGTTCTATTTTTTAAAGTATTCTGCTTTTGAAATTAAACTTTCACTTGCTAATAGTTTAAAATCACCCGATGAATGTTGAAACATGATTGTAATTGTGTAGCAATTTTTAACATTCTTGTTTTAATGTCCTTATATATATATATACATACATACATACATACATACATACATACATATACACACACACACACACACGTATATATGTGTGCGTATACAGCTCAGACTGCGGAATCGGTTAGCCAAGTTAGAATTCCAGTCGCATCCATTACATTCACTTACATGCTAATAACCTTGAGAATGGTATGAATCCTCTTCTTCCCCCCCCCCCAGCTATGGGTAAATGGCAGGACAGAGCAGGTTCTATAGCCTTGCATGGCAACTGGTCTACTACAGAAAGAAATTTGCAACCTACTGTGGGAAAAATCTGCTACATCAATCATGTATTGCAAGATGCATGATTGCCTAAGCGTGTATCACACATGGCACATAACTGACAAATATATATATATATATATATATAATGAAAAGGACAAAGTCCAACAATTATTTTAATATATTTTATTGTTATATGATATTTATATAGACATAAATATTTAAGTAAATGCTCTATTTTATAATAAACAGTATTAACAACTCTGTAGCTAAGCTGGTATAGCACGTCAGGCTATATGAAGATTCTGTGTAGGATACAGGTTTGATTCCTGTTGGAGGACACATATTTTCTATGAAAATTTCTTGGATGTTCAGGCTAGTAAATTTTGTTCATACTGTTTATTATAAAACAAAGCATTTACTGAAAAAAATTGTGTCTATATAAATAACATATAACAATAAAAAAAAAAAAATATATATATATATATATATATATACACACACAGTAGCATCCAAAATTAAGGAACAAAAATTAAAACTGATATCTCAAAAAAATATAAATCCAATTTTTCTAAAATTTTCACTATATGTAGACAAATGGCAGTTGTCTTTTAAATCAGTAAGTTAGTTGGAATGATAGAGAGAGAGCTATAATTCATTTAATTCTTTAGTCAAATATCAAATGTCCAACATTAAGAAACAAAATGTTTTTAATCAAAAAAATAATTGGGCAACAAAATGCAAAACATCTCATCAATATTTACTGCTAAGATCCTTGTTTTGAATCACTGCTGTACATCGGTACCCACAATTTCACTAAATTTTGACATTCGTCAACTGTAATTTTAGCCCATTCCTCATGGAATTTTTCCCATAGATCGTCGACATTTGATGGATTCCTAGCCATGACAGTTTGTCCTAAAGTCTTCCATAAGTTTCCCATGGGTGTCATGTCAGGACTTTGAGCTGGCCAATCCATAACATTTATTCGTTGGTTGTTCAGATAAGCAATAACCAGTTTTGCCTTATGGCAGGGAGCATTATCTTGCATGAATACAGGATTTTCAAACCCATAATTTTCTAATACCATACATGTTCTTCTAACAAATTCTTGTATATAGCAGCATTAACTCTATTATGTAAGCATACAAGAGGTGACATATCCAGACTTGAAAACATGCTGAAAACCATCACGCTGATTTCGCCAAATTTGACGGT